CCCAATTTACAGGGCTCCAGCAAGAAGGAGGAGTCTATGAGAAAGAAGGTAATACCTCAGGCACACACAACAACAGGTGCTGAGTGGAGCAGGCACATCTTGAGCCTTCTTCTGCTTTCTGTAGCTTATCCTTAGAAGTGTACAAAAATGCTTGGAAACCTGGGTTTACTAGGATGACCTTTGGTAAAAGGACAGAAGGAAACAGAACATCCTAGCAAGATCCTCTGGCTCCAGGCCTAAAAAGATGAATTTTAGCAAAAACGTTGAGAATGTTGAGTGAATAGTCACATGTCTCCTTATTAGCTTCAATCTCCACTCTCTCCTCTAACTAACTTGAGTGGTCATCAGAGCAGAAAGGCGGGGGTATAAATAATGCACAAACAGTTAATCATCTGGGATATTTTACAAATGAATAGTGTCCTAACAGATCACAGCTAACTAAGTTTGCCATTTTCTCCTGCAGTAGTAGTGACTGGATCACAGAAGGAAGGGTGATGCCTCCTAGTCTAGCTCAGGGCCAGCTTCTTCTCCCCACCCCCACCCCCAGTCTGCCTCTTAATGGCCAAAGACGGAGAACATCCAATCTCTGGATCACTGCCCAGCAACAAATAGGATGAAATGTTTGCTGGGACAGGCAAGAAGAGGGCACACTCAGCTGCATAGTAAGTAGGCTTTCTGCATCTGAAATGTTTGACATCTGTCAAGGAGATCAATTGAATTTAAGTTTAGCAACATGGTTCCACACAGTTGAGTTGATAATACCCAAGAGAAGTTTTGAATGGCACAGAAGAAATCTACTTTAAAAACAAGCCATTCAGTTTAATACAAAAAGGAGGGATTAGTAATGGAAGAGTTTCACTGGACATGGCTAGAAATGGTTAAAAGAATTGTATCAAATTGAAATTTGGTTGGGCAAACTCAGTTAACCCTCAAAACTTCCAGCATTGGGTATTTTCTCAACATTCAGACACACAGACAACACAGAGATAGGTAGAAATAAAATTTGAGAAAATCATTGGAGAACGATGCTGTACCATGTATACCTTGAGCCATTGCTTCTCAGTCAGCGAATCGCTATAATCCACTTCCTTACGGTGACGAGAACCTCTACCAAACATCTTCTCTTCCTCTTCTTCACAGGTTAGTCTTTCTACTTCTGCATCATCTTTAATTATCCAAGAGGGCAACTCATCCTCTTCCATCAATCGTGGCTTTCGCTTAGGATTGCGGGCTTCCTCTCGCCTGCGATCTAAATCCATACGCTGCAGAAGGAGAAGAGGGAGGTAAGCTTCATGTGTATTGCACTGGATTTTCTGAGTATAAGCTTATACTCAGTATAAGTCATTTATGGGGGACTGATGCCAGTCTAACGTTTAAACATAGTAAAGCCTGGTGTGCTTGTATTACTTCAATCTTAATTAGAGGGGAATTACCAGGTATAGGAAAACCATCCATACCAAATGTTTGGAGTTAATTTTGTGATGTATGTGGCAAACTCTTAAAAAATATGAATAACAAAACAATCTTTGCAATTGTTTTTGTAAAGAATAAAGTCTATAATAGTCTATTTCAACATTCAGATATGATGGACTAAAATAGTCATTTCTACCAAGCAACGTGCTAGAATGTGGAAATCTAAGCAAGTATCTAAATACATAAATAAATCTCTGCCTTTGAATGAGATTATTTTCTTTCATGGGAAGGGAGGAAGAATCTTTCATCTTTCCATCTTTACTTTGTATTCCAATATTTATTCTGTTCTGGGCTCCAAAACACAGCAATATTTGAAAGAGAATCCTATACAGCTCCACTTTTTGAAATCCAGTATCAGGTTGGGAAAGGCTGCCTTAGTTCATCAAAAGATAAGTAAATCAAAACTATGGACAACAAACTGGCTCTTCATAAGAAAAGTGGTTTCTGAGATCTAAGGGGATGAAGACTGACCGCAATCTTATAGGCCTCACCAAAATGAGTAAGATTTATTTACAAGTACCTTGGCTTGATAGCTTTCTGAACACTGAAAACACTATTTCAAGTATATTCCAAAGCTTTTTTTTTTTTTTAAGAAACAGATTTATACATTTATGTGGAAATGCATGAATTGAAAGCAGGTATACTTACTCAAGAATGCAGGAAACTGTATTGGTCTCAAATTAGCATTGGTACATTGATATACAGACAATTTCAATCTGCAACAATGCACACTGTTTCTCTGGGTTATTCCCTCCCCTCTGCACTAGCAGAGGATGGAGACGGAGACACCTGTTTGCCTACGTCCCTCATCACCTTCTGTATAAACTATACAAACAGTGAAACAAGTAGTTGAGGCTGGCTCATCTCGAGTAAGTTCAGCAAGGGTGAATATGGTTGTTCTTGGAAGAGAGACCACCAGAAGTCTCAAGACTGCAGATTAGATTGGGAAATTAAAAAAAAAGAAAAAATCCCAGAAGAAGGCAGCGACACCCACTTTGGCACTGATGGTCAGTGTTCCCAACATGTGACATATGACATATGTAACATATGAACAGTGTTCATACATCCCCAGGAGTCAAGCTTGGCTTCACCTTTCTCCAGCGCTGAAGACCAGGGGGCTGCTGTTTTCCCATCTCTTCTAACTTCCTTTTCATACTTGGAAGGAGAAGGACTCAAGACCATTGGAGGAAGGGGGACAGAAGTGGGCGAGAGAACAGGGCATTTCCCCTTCTTTCTTTCACTAAAGTTCAGGTTCCTGGTAAAAAAGGGAAGGCTGTTCGACAACTAGGAAGGCAAACTGCAACTTGGAGGGACTGGAGGCTGAAACAGCCGCCGGGTGTTATTTGTAACAAGTCCTGTAACAAGTCAGAAATGTCCATGTGAAATATATATGCTGGGATAGGATTTTGCCTTGGGGCTTTGCTTGTTCTTGCGGCTCTTTCAGTTTTTGCGTGGAAGTTTTTATTCCATAACCATAACCTTCTCTTCCCTAACAACACGAGGCTTCCCTTGGCTCTCGAAACAGCCTTGAGACGGCACAGACGGTAACAAGCTTCTGGTGGGTGGGTGGGTGGGTGGGTGGGTGTATGAAGGAACCCTGATGCTTGTACCGAACTATGTGATATCTGGTTAGATGCCCTGGAACTAGTTTTTCTCAAGTAATATCATGAAATCCAAAGGCCAGGCTCACAAGGCCGAGATCTGCATGAGTATCTCAAGCATGTACTTCCTTTCTCTTTCGCACATATGTATACCCTGCTGCCTTTTGACATGGGTCTATCTACTACTGACTTCTAGATCAAGATTTAGCTAAATTAATGTACCTTAAGTAATAGGCTGAATTCAGAAGAATAAAGCTGACCTCTCTGAAATACAACAAGCCAAGAGAGCCACGCTCACCATAAAAAGATCAAACTCTTCCTCATGTCGGGCAATCATCTGGTTAACCGTTTCATCGTCTGGAACTTCATCTTCTTCCTGAAAGATTTCAAAATTTCCCCCATTTAATTCCTGCAAGGCAGCTCGTGCGCTTGGAGTTTTATACTGAAAGTTTTACCATCTCAAGTTTGATTTGGCTACGTGTGAAAATATATCTGGTGGTCTCAGTGGACGGTAGCCGCAGGGCAGAAGCTCCCCATCGGCGCTGGCAACTTTGCTGACAGTCTTAAACAGTGAGGACTAAGGACTGGACGGGCGCGGCGACTGAATTACCCCTCTCACCTTTAAAGGTGGCTCCTCCGAGTCGGAGTTGAGGCACAGGGTTGAGGCAGTGTGGGGAAAGCTTGCGCTGCCACTGCCGCTGCCCGTGCTGTATCTGGTCTGTGGATAGATAGAGGACTTCAGTCTCCAGGGCTGTCAATCCAGCACCCTTCACTGACACTCAGATTCACTTCCTAGGGTGACAAGGGTTCATGCCACTTCCTTCCAGCCCACAGTCCCTTGGCCTCAGGGCTACAGAGAGCAGGGATCGAGGCAACACATTCACCAGTCACGCATGAGAGATGGAGAAAGCCACCCTTTTGTCAGCCCTTACCTCATCTTGCTCCTCATGCTCTAAGATAGCCTGGAGGAAAGCTCGCCTTTCATGGCTGGAGGACTTCTGATCAAACATTCCAGCCTGGATCACCTTCTGATCAACATTCAGCTTGTACTTGGCCGCAGCAAGTATCTTCTCTTCCACACTGTTCACAGTGCACAGGCGCAGCACTCGCACTTCGTTTTGCTGCCCGATGCGATGTGCTCGATCCTGGGCCTGCAGGTCCTAGAGTGGTGGGAAAAGACCATCCTCACTGTTCAACAACTACACTCAGCTTTCTTTCAGTTTCATCCCCAAAGACAGAAGAAGCAATGCTGTGCCAGAAGAGGGGCCCAGGACAGGACAGCTGGCTTAGCAACTGCCTTGTACTGGGGGGTTAAGTGGCTCAACCAGAAAATACTCCTGGAGACAGCCTTTTATAAAAGCAGCATTCATGCCACCCAAACAAACTCAAGACCAAAACATGCATCTGAAGACCCATTTCTAACACCATAGATCAGTGGAAATGCTGCTGTTTAACTCTCTGCTCCTTAGGTCTCTGGCTGGCCTGTGAACTGGCAGTGCGTTCCAACCCACCACCTGAAGACTGATGTTCTATACTGTGAACACTGTTCAGGGTTACCCAGGTAACTATGTTTAGAGGACACCAACAACATCAAAGGATGCTCAGAAATTCACACAGCAAATCTGGTGTAACAATCCTTATTATCCTTGCTTGATATTATTTCAATTGGTAAGTATTTCTAGGTTTCACATGCCACCCTTTTGTTCTGGCACATGGATAAAATTTTGATTTTAGTTAGTAATTAAATATTAAATAGGTGCTGATAATTGTGAGACGTGGTGAAATTATGATGTAGCATTAGAACCAGATAGGCAATGTCCCGGATGTCCTTTAGATGTGCTGGATTGCATGCTAGTTGGGTATTCTGAGAGTTGCAGTTCTGCACATTCAGAGGAGATAAGGGAGGAAGAGAAGGTTCCTCCCTAACTTTGTTTCAAGATATTAAAGCTGTGGCCTGAAGGGTGAGAGTTTATACTATCAGTTTCCAAAGAGAACTATTGTCAGCTGAGTTATTTTTTTGATTTTTCTCCTAAAGGCACAGAAGAACTATTTCTGACAATATTTAAAAACGGTAACCACCTCTTTTGGCAGAATTCTCCCTATAGATTGTAGGCAAAAGTGGAATGCCAAAGATTTAGATACTGTTTTCTTGAAACTACAAACTATAATAACCATGTCTTATATTTATGTTCCAGACCCCTTAGTGAAATGTAAAAAGGCCTTTCTTTTGCATTAGTATATGTATAGCATCACAAACTTTAATCTCGCCATTAAATGTTAGTGCTCTGTTTATAAATCCTTTTTTTCCTGGAAACCTAGTAAAAACACTTTTGTTACCTGGTGAGGATTCCAGTCACTGTCAAAAATAATCACAGTATCGGCAGACTGCAGGTTCAGTCCCAAACCCCCTGCTCGGGTGCTCAGAAGAAAAATGAAATATTCAGAGCCCGGCTCATTGAAAGTTTTCAGCAGCATGCCACGATCTTCAGCTTTAGTGGTCCCTTTAAAAGTCAAGAGAAGAGAGGGTTTCCCCCAGTGCCACGATATTTTATTTCAGAATAAAAGCTATTACAAAAATCCCAACACTCAGCAGAAGGCCACAGGGAAGAAAGGTATTTTATACTGAGCTCAACAAAGCTGACAAAAGTTACATTCTAGAAATGGAATGGAATACCTGTGGAGAAGTTACATAGCAGTTTAAGGATTTAAGTTCTTAACAATAGCAGAGAATTTACAAGGATAAATCAGCTGGTTTGGATGAGCAGATACTGCCTGGAGGGAAACATAATGACAGTCCATGGAAGTTGTATTTTGTTAGCTACCTTACACCCTGCCTCCCCTCACTTCTGAACTTCAAAACAAACGGAGAATAAGCTAAAAATGAACACTCAAGAGAAGCTGCAGTTAAAAGATACCAGATACTTTTCCCTATATCATTTATTAACAAAATTATTGGGACAGGCCTGTAATGCCCAGTTCCTAATATTAATTAACATCCAAGCCTTCATTCAATGCCAGCAACCTCAGCCAGTAATGACCACATGAAGCAGGTGAATCTGCCAGAGCAATGTGGCTATAAATTATAGTCTTAAGTGAGCAATCACAAAGAGATGGATGTTTCTTAACAACAGAGAAGTTTATGCTTTCCTAATATTATGACCTTCTCCTGGTACTCAGTTCAGGCTAACCTGACCATCATTTTTGAGCAATGTTGGAGTTTAATCATAATCTTTAGCAGATTATGATACAGGGCTAAATATCACACCAGATTGCAAATACTTCAAACTACATGGCATTCACCCATACACCCTATAAATGCCTCTTTCCCTTCTCCTGCACAAAGCGTTATGGAGAGAGGGAAAAAGCTCAAGATCCACTCTTGATCTCCTTCTTTATGGAAGGGCAAATTAATGCTGGATTAAAAAACAAAACCTCAATCAAGAGTGGAAAAGGAAAAATTAAAGAGAGGGAAAGAAATGTTGCTCTGGCTAAACAGGACTAATCTAGGAACTAGACCAAAAATATGTCACTGTAGATTATACCTACTGGAATATATGACAGGCTCCCTATTCAATCTATTATACTTTAGGATCAGAAGGAGATTCAAAACATCTCTTATCAAAAGAGATTCATAATTTCAGGAGAGCATTAACAAGAACAGCCATTGGGAAAAGTGATCCTCCATTACACACTGGTTTGAGAGATAAAAATGGCAAGTTGGAAATGGAAAAGTTAACCAAATGAAGGAACCTGGGCCACTGTAGAAGTGGAAAGATGCAATTTGTATTTCTTTTAATAAATGCATCCTTTGATTCAAACACCACAATTACCACTAGTAAGGTATGCCTCATTATACAATTGTCACTTTCATGGAAGGGGAGTTGTTTACAAAAAGTTCCTAGGTGATTGCTATAAGTTCCTTAGCTTGAGCTCCATACTTCAGAAAGTTTTTAAAAATGTGGGAAAAAAATCCTTATCACAGAATCAGAGGGTTGGAAGGGACCTCAGAAGTCTTCTAGTCCAACCCTCTGCCCAGTACGGGAATCCTCAGACTATCCCGGATAAATAGCTGCCCAACCTTTGTATGAAAACCTCTGGTGATGGAGCACCCATGACTCCAGTAGGCAGGCTGTTCCATTGCTTAATAGCTCTCACAATTAGGAAATTCCTCCTTAGTTCAAGTTTGGATCTTTCACTGTAAAGCTTCCTCCCGTTGGTGAATCAGAGTTCATAGTTTCTAAGTCTCAGGTAGTTCATCTGAATTACATACTTTCAAATGGTTCACACAAGCATTAGAGGGAGCTTCCCTTGCCCATGCACAAAGAGAATGAGTCAAATCAGCTCAATACCCACAATGGAAGGATGAAGGTATTTTTATGTGGTTGATGATATATTGACAGGAGAGGTCTCATGGGGCAAAGATATGAAACTTGAGAGCAACTAAATCCTTTCTAAAGCCATACTATCAACATTTCAAACTAACATCAGCCCAAGGTCTTAGAGAGCAGTTCTAAGCAGCCTACATGTACTAACACTGTTAAGAACCACCCAGCTGGAATCCATCTCGCTGGATAAGTGGTGTTGCCACCACCCTCTATATCCTCAACCTCGTGTCCCCCCAGGTTTAGCACTCCTTCTGCTCTTCACAGAAGGGATCTAGACCCTAGGCCTGAGAAGAAAAGAACTTGTGCAAAGAGAATATGAAAAAGAATGGCTGCATTCTTAGTGCATGACCACTGCCAACATGGTGGCTCGACATGATAACCTGCGCATACAGTACATATGTAAAACTGTATATGCCAAGAACACTTATCTTTGATGCAGGAAAATGTGAAGGGACCAAAGTCACTGTGTTCCACTTTTTTTGGGTGCAGCTCTAAACCCCATAAACTAAGTGACTCTTCAAGTAAACCGTAGCCAACTCAAAAATGTATTTCCCAATGCAAAATTATCACAGCATGTAAGTCCCACTGCCAAACTCACCATCTAGCCTGAGGTATTTGAAGCCACGGTAGGCAAAATAATCTTCCATTATGGTCATGAGGGAGGTCATCTGACAGAAGAGCAATACCTTGTGGTTGGTAGCTCGCAACTTGGGAAGAATACGATCTAGAAGCTCAAATTTCCCAGAAGCACGATATAGGTCAAGTCTAGGTTGTGTATGAGGAAGAGAAACAGCAGGGTTTTTTTTCCCACCAAAACAGTGAGTTTCACATGTTTTAACTTCAAGATTCCCCTTCCATATAAATTCCTATATCCTAGTTGCTCTTATGAATAAACCAGGCTTTGCTGTTGCCCTTATGAATAGTATAAATAGCAGCTATTCTCTGCGATTACAGGCAGTTCTCAGGCTATGACAGCAATTGGGACTGGAATTGCCATCGCTAAGCAATGCGGTCATAAAGCGTGATGTCATGTGCTGCATCCCTTAGCGACAATCCTGGTTGCTGTTGTGACCCCATAAGATGTGTGGTTTGTTAAGTGGGAAGCGGCGGAAATCCCAAGTAAGGAGTGCAGGGGTGCTGCAGGGGGGTGGGGATGGCCAGGGGAGGCCCTGGGAGGCCTGACACAGGCTGTACGTAAGCGCAGGAAGGCGTGGGAGTAGATGGTGCGGTGCAGCGCAAGTACAGGAATGCTGGGAGATGGATAGCATGATGAGGTGCAAGTTCAGGAAGGCCGGGGGGAGACTTTCCAGAGTGACTTGTGACCTTCCCTGCCGGCTTCCCCATCAACTTTGCTTGTGGGAAGTCAGCAGGGAAAGTCGCAAATGGTGATCACGTGACAGTGGAACATTGTAAGTGCGAACTGGTTGACAAGTGCCCAAATTGTGATCACATGACTGCAGGGGTGCTGTGACAACCAGAACTGAGGTCTGGTTGTAAGTATCACTCATCACAACTTCAAACAGTCACTGAATGAGTGGTTGGTAAGCGAGGACTACCTGTATTGATCTTAAATTAAGGAAATCCTGAGAATCTTCTAAGGAAGCCCAAGGCCTTAAAGAGCACTACTCCCAAGACATAATTTCTATGATTAGAAATTGTCCTAATAATAAAAAGTGGCAGGATTGTCCATCAAAAACAAGTGGGAGATGCCTCTGGAAGTTAAGAAGCTAGGCACGAAAGCAACAACTCTTCTCACTGGCTTCAGTCTGTTGAGTCTTCACAAAGAAAATACACCATACAGTCCAAATGCTGTGGAGTAGCCAACTTACCCTTGCACAATGCCTCCAGTGAAGCCTAAGTGCTCAGAAAAGGACTCCTGTAACAAAATGTATGGAAATCAACATAAAGATAAAGAAAGGATGCCAAATACAACAATAGAGGGTTTTTTTCCCCCCTTCAAGGAGCACTTTGAAGGTTAATAGTCTGGAAGACTTGTACCGCACATCTTAGGCCTGGTAGCTAAGATAGTCTTTCTTTTTAACATTTAAATGTATAGAGTTAAATAGTTCTTCAAATAAACAGATGTTTCAATTATGTTTAAAATTATTTTCAAAAAGGCTGGAGTTCTTGAATGCAAACTTCCAAGTGCTCAGGGAGTTATAATATTGCTAAGTCCTGTTGTCAACTAGTCTATTCCTTGCTCTGTCAGCCTTCCCCAACTTGATGCTCTCCAAATACACTAACTGGAAATTATTAAAGCCCAACACATTTTGAGGCTTTGGAAGAGTACAGCATTTAAAGAGACTGTGGAAGGCTCTTTAAATGCTGTACATACAATACTATATTGAATAACCAAGTGTTAACTATCAGCTTCTCAAACTTTGGAATAAATCTGGAGGAGGTCACAAATTATGACATTCTAGAAAGCTTCAGCCATTAAGAGAAACGGAAGATTCCTCCTCCTCCTTGCAGAACTCCATCCATATCAGTTTGGAGAACTGAACGCAACGTCTACTTTTTAGGTGCCAGGATGGGGAGAAAAGGGATAGACAACTGCTACAAAATAATCCTTAAGAGCCATTTGCTTGAGGAACAAAAATAACAAAAGGCATACAATGTCTGAAAATCTCCATATACTGTAGCTGGATAACTGAGGCATGGGGCTGAAGGTATCCTAATCAGATACACTGGGAGGGGGTCAGCATTAAACAAAGTGAGAAATGGTAGTAACACACGTTCCCAATTAACCCATCTTTCAATACATTTGCTCCACCATCTTTTCTCTTCACTAGTCTCCTCTTTAACAATGGCACATCTTTACCTCTATATGCTGAAACATATATGGATGGTTGCAAATCTTCCGCAACTGCATAATAGTGTTCATGAGGGTTTTTGTACCACCTTTGCCCTGCAAGAAAACGAGTGTGGAAAATATTGAAGGAGACAAACAATTTATAGCGCACATACATTGCCGTGTGCCTGTTACTTCCTGTCTAGTGTTCAAACCACACAGCAAATGTTGGAGAGTTAGAGGTATATGAGTATGACACCGAAAAAGGAGCCAGACATTAAAAATGGGACATTCAATGTATTAAGCTTAATTTCCCCAAGGACTTCTGTTTTGCTTTGTTTTGCTATATTTTGGTTGGGCTGAAGTTCTCATCAGATAAACTAAGTACATAAAGTATTTGAAGAAAAGGTGTATAAACCTATATAATTTTTTTTTATGGCTCCACAAATTTCTTCTAAGTATCTCTATCATACTGTAGCCTCTATCCAGCCACATCGTTTCAAAGGGATTCCATGAAGGATCTCAAAAAACGAATGCTACAGCAGGGAACCCAACCACTTGGATACGGCTTCAAATTTGGGGCTAATGAAAGTTTTAACCATTGTGCCTTAAAATACGGTTATGACCAGAAATTCTTACAGTATAATGACTTGCACACCAATGGCATTCTAATACTAATCTGCACAAACAGCAAATTTGGTTGCCTTTGTTTGTGCCTCGTTCTGACTACCTATGGAACACTCCACATAGTGGAGAAACTTAAATCTCCCATCACAGCTCCATTTTCTGTGCGCTGTCCCTTCCCAGGATGAGGTCACAAGCCTGTTTCTTTACTAGGGAGCCTCTCTGTGAACTGCAGCGGAGAACTAGGTGACAGCCAGCTATGAAAAAGCCCAACCTTTATGTCCTGCCTTGAGCTCCAAAAAGGAAGTAATCTTTTACTTTGGGGAGGCTGGCAGTTGTAGTCCAAATATCCTAGGTTCAAGAAACTGACAGATCAACCCAACAAAAGGCCACCCTTTTTTCATGTTAGCATAAAAATCTTTCTCCAAACCTTTTTGTCCTTCTCGGATCCATCCGTAAGCAGCACTCCCTTTGCTTGCATGTGTCTATAAAGTACTCTTTGTAATGCAGACATGTCACACTTAATAACATATTCTACCTGTTGTGAAGAGAAAAGACACATGAATTCATTAAAATGCAAACTGTTTCCACACAGCATGGAACCCAACATCCTGCAGCAGCTGAGATCTGGGACTTCTTCAAATTGCTGATCATCTTTAAGCAGTGCCTTTAAAATTCAACTTTTAGGGGTATAGCTTTGTTGTAGAGCACAGTGAGTGTATCAGGCTCCAGATTAACTCTCCATGGTTTCTAGGCAGAGCTGAAAAATGAGAACGGATTAAAACCCTAGGCTAGAGCTACCCCCAATATGTATACTGGATCAGTGGACTGGCTTAGTACATGGCACCTCCCTAGGCCCATAGTATTCTCATTTTATTTCGTTTCCAGCCTGAGTAGATAGGGAGAATAGGATCCTGGTATTTGGATGACAATTTGTAAAGACTGTGTCAGAAAGTCCCACTAATTATGCATTCAGTCAGGACAGGCATCCTTTTCAACCTTGAGTGCCATATGCCTGTGGCCACCTTTCTGGATGGTGCAGGTTAATGGTGGGTAGGGTCAAAGAAAAGGTGAAGTAGGATATCCATGCTCATTTCTTAAAAACACTCATAAAAGTATGCATGTATACACACATACATGTATGCACACATGTATACTCATTCTTAATACCATAATTAGGCTTGAACATTATCTTTTCAAGTATTTTCTAGAGTAGGCCATAGAGTTTAGAAAAAGGAAAACTAACTTTTCTCTCTCTCGCTTGTCTCTCTAATTGTGACATCCTTTCCCTTGTGCAATATTGAGTGATAGAAGAAAGTTTCCACAGGGGAAGGGGACCAGATTAATTCCTGTGCAAAGGGGACAGGGAGAGGAGAGGAGAAGATCATACACCAGATGATAAAGCCCTGTGGATCAATTTTGGCTATAGGCCAGAGGTACCCCACTACTGCATTAGATAATAAACACAAATTTGACAAAAGCTTTATGAATACAATAGCCTTGAAATTAGTTGTAATATAGCTTAAATACACAAATTAATATATTGTTAGAGAACTCTTGGACAAATGTGGGAGGGGCTTTTCTGGGTTGATTCTGAAGCAAGCAATATAACAAAGCTTGGGAATGTCTGAGGTGCATCAATTTTGAGATACTTCAGTCACTGTTTTCCCTGGACAGTGTAATCTATTCAGATTAATTTCTTGTGGATGTGCAAACAGTTGCAGATTCAATTTTCATAATGATGCACAATGGACCATGGTAGTTGGTCATCCTGGAGAAGTGTTCTCCACTTGATTTGATCATCTCTGCAGGCATTCCTAAAATGAGATTCTACAAGGTCAAAAACCCATAGTCACCAAAGTCAGAGCTATTCTGTTGGGAGGATTTCTGCTATGCTATTCTTGCCTAGCATGACAAATGGATTGCAGAAAAGTCAGGCCAATACCATTATTAACTTGAACTTTGAAAAAAAACGTCTTTCCAAGAGTTCAACAAAGAACTGCAAAGAGTAATAGAAAATTTTCTGATTGGGAATTCCTCTAATATCACTAAAAGATGATTTTCATGTTTGAAGGATAAAATTGGACTGTTCAAAGCAGATACCAAATCTCCAGACAATGTGAACAATCTGGTAATGTTGGCTATTTTTATAGGATTATAGCAGTATTGACATAAAGGTAATCCAGCTCTTGCCGAATAATGTTACAGTCAGTTTCTTGGTGAAATTTTGCTTTAAAAGGCATGAGTTTTGGGGGTGAGTGGGTGGTTAGGGAGGTAAATGACAAACATATTTGTAATATCACAATGCAAACTCTGCCTCTTTTGTATGCGTGTTGTGATAATGCATACAAATACACAAGGGGTAGTTTGTCACATCACAACATCATAAAGCATGTTTTGTTATTCTGATGAAATTGTACAGTAATGTCCCTTAATGTCTATGGTCAAAGAGATCTAAAATTGTTTTTGAGATGCCTTTATCGGTATCAGCTACTTCTGACTTCTCCGTCTCAAATCTCTTATCAAAATATAGATCAAAGCCAAAGTGAGTCTTTCTATATCTCTTGTAGATGCACACAAAAAAGCAGCAGTGCATCTTTTGAAAATGAGGGACAAGACATTCCTCAGCAGAACCCTGGCTCTGTTGTGGAGACGGGGTGCCATTACTAACCAGAATTCTACGTAGACACTTGCCCGCAAAAAAGGCACAGCATTGCTGGCAGAGAAATCAAATGCACGTGAAGGGGCTGCTCACATCTGACATCCTTAGCACCAACCTTTTAGCTTTTTTTTTTTTTTTCCTTTTTACAGAAATACCAGAACCAACAGTACATCTAGCCTGGCAATATTCTCCTGCCGCCCAGGCCCAGGCCCAGGCCCAGGCCCAGGCCCAGGCCCAGGCCCAGGCCCAGGCCATTCTCAGCACTGCTGTTCTAAGCCATTTTTATTTAGTGGCATCAAATAGTAACTAACACTCCCTTTTCTATTAAGCCATGCCCCTTCTTGAATATCACATCCTAAGCTACTAGACACTTTTCCTGACCAACAGAATCTTTTGTAAAAAAAATGAAGTGGCAGCTATCAGATTCCAAAGAGATCAGCTTGGTGGTAAGCCACTACTTTCCATGAACCAAACAGATTCTAGAAAGAACCTGGAATAGTCTCTGGTGTATACAGTTACCTTTTCAGGTAGCTGTGCTTCTACTTCCTTCTTTAACCTTCTTAGCAGGAAGGGGCGCAAAACTTTGTGCAAACGACGGATAATTAGAATAGTTTCTTCCTCATTCAAATCCACCTGTATCAAAACACACACAGATATAAGGAAACACCAGTTTTTAAGATATCTTTCTCCACTGATGCTAGGAAAGTATAGGATCACTTTTAACATGCAGAATAAGAGAAAAATATATCATTAATTACATATCCAAACTTAGAAAAAAACCATAGATATTATTTCAGATTCCTCTCCAGCTTTCTAAACTCAACATATTACCTACAGCAATGAATTATCAATTAATTTCACACAGAAGTCATGTCAAACCAGATTAGAACTGTGGGCTACTGTGAATAAGAAGTGCTTGATGTACCAACAAACAGCTCTAATTGAGCCAACTGGCTTTGGCTGGCTTTACTGGGACCAGGTGGAATATAAGTATGGTAAACAAATACACTCTATCCATAATTTGTTTAGCATTCTAGGTCAAACAGCTTTGTATCCAAGAAGCTAATAAAGTCATATATAAGGAACAAACCATGTTATTTCCTTTGGCTTACAAAGAGACAAAAAAGCTGGAATCCCAATTCATGCATAAAAACATGATTAAAATACTTAGTTTATTTAGCTGCTCTGGTTAGCTAGCACAGAGAGCACAAGAGAGAACATTCAATCCTGTTAACAGCAATGCTAAAATTCTTTAGATTACTAAAGGTGAGATCTGAACCCAGACAATTCAAGAACATTTCCACTTGTCAAGCTTGATCCTTTAGGAGAGTGTAGCCCTCTCAGAAAAAAAAAAAATCAATAATCCCTTCAGAAACAAAACTCACCTTTAAAAAAAAAAAAAAAGGACAGCGATACAATCCCAAGGTTTGGGCAATGCTGTATTGCATTACTATAATCAGACTATTTGGAGTTGTGCATGTAAGATATAACGATACATTGAGGAATCCCAACCCCTTTCTTCCTAAGTCAACCCCACCACAAAATCCGTTCCTACGCGGAAGAGACTAGCCTGCACAAGAGACAGTGAAGTGCCTGATTGCCACTGTCCAGACAGAGCCCACTGGAGAGTGGCTGCAGAACCAAAGAGCTTCACAAGGCCTTGGCTGAAGAACAGAGGGTTAGACGTTTCTTCCAGCACTCACCTTTTCTCCAGTCATGGCAAATGGAGCATTAAACCACTGTTCAAACGTGCTACAACTCTTGAAGATAGTTGGAAGGAGGAAATTGAGCAGAGCCCATAGTTCTGGTAGCTTATTTTGCAGTGGCGTCCCTGTCAGCAGCAAACGACGTGGGGCTACGTAGTGTGTGTTCAGAACCTGGGTTAGCTTGCAGTGGTGATTCTTCATCCGGTGACCTTCGTCAACGATCATGTACTTCCAACGAATCTGACAATACAAGTTGGCAACTGTGTTAGAATCTGCCTGAATTCCGGAATACAAGCTTCTTCCCCCCAGGACACCTTCTCACACTAAAGGGATAGAAGGACTGAGCTAGATTGCTACTGACTTTGGCTTTAAAAAAACGCCCTTAGATAAACAGTATATTCTGAGCGGAGTGAAATAGGAGTCCTCAATATGCTGTTACTTTATACATTCTATACCACAGATCAGGGCTGTCTAAACTTGGCCACTTTAAGATGAGTGGACTTCAACTCCCAGAATTCCCCAGCCAGCC